ATCTGACTTAGGAAATCCGACTTACACGCAGAAATTTAATAAGAAAAACATGCAGGATCAAAGGGTCAGAGTTGAGCGAAGATCCAACTTATACGAATCCGACTTATGCAATGTTTACTGTAGTTGGCTGAAAAACAATTAAATAGTTTCAAGGTTGGACTTCAGCCTGCAGGCCACGTGGATTTCCGGGAATCCCAATCTGGGAAAAGCGACGATCTGTGACTGGGAAACCTGTATCTAACGACGTGATCAATTTTGCTGGAACATGGACACGAATAAAACCAGCGAATGCATTGTATAGCTCATGGAATATAAATGTCTTATTGGTAAATTAACAGGAATTTTTAATCGATTTTGATGGAACTTAAATTATATTTGTGCATAGCAGACTATAATTTCATGGATAATGGTCCCTGAATGTACAAAAAATCACGTTTTTAGCTTGTGGTTCATCACAATTTTTATCTGATTTTAAAAAACGTTCAAATATATCATTGTTACACCTTATTGATGGTTGAGTTTGGTGAAATTCGGACCGAAACTGCCCAACAAAATGGCTGCTCCCCTGTATGTAAATAGTGAAAAAGTATGTTATACCAACTCTCGAGTGGTGGCAATTTTATCCAACGATTGAGTTTGAATTTCGTGAAAATCGGACCAAAACTTTTCAACAAAATGGCCACTCCTGTGTACCCTTTAGAGGTCACAATTTTGATCTGGTTTTGATGAAACTTAAAACATATGTTTATAACCCAAAGATTTGGGTTCATTTGATATTGGCATTTATCGGATGTTAACTTCCTGGATTATGGCCCCTGATTGTGCGAAAAATCATGTTTTATGGCTTGTTCTCCATCACTTGCAAAATGTGGGTCTATCTTGCATAACAACCGCTTGTTAAGGGATTTTCACACAAAACTGAGCCAAACAGCAAAGACTGAATTTTTTTGTCGATACAGCATGAACAAATATAAATAGTAAGACAGAAATGACTCTGCACACGTGCATAGCATATAGTAATAGTATGGTTTGTCCAGACACATTGTATCACGGACAGTGGTCGCCAGTTTTCAAGCGTGGGGAAAGGCCTATTGTTTTTATACGCCCACATTTTCATGTGGACGTATTATGCCCCTGTCCGTCCGGACGTCCGTCCGTCCGTCCACAATTTGTTTGTGGACACTCTACTTGTCACAATTCTTATCTGATTTTGACGAAACTTGAAATATAGGTTTATTTCCTAAAGATCTCGGCTGCTTTTGATATTGGCATGTATCGGATCGAAACTTCATGGATTATGGCCCCTGTTTGTACGAAAAATCACGTTTTTAGCTTGTGGACCCTATAGAGGTCACAATTTTTATCCGATTTTGTTGAAACTTGAAATGTAAGTTTAAAACCCAAAGATCTCGGTTCCTTTCGATATTCGTGCATATCGGACCGTAACTTCCTGAATTATGGCCCCTGATTGTACGAAAAATCACGTTTTTAGCTTGTGGACCCTATAGAGGTCATAATTTTTATCCGATTTAAAAAAACGTATTATTATATCATCGTTACACCCTAAGGACGACTGAGTTCAAATTCCGTGAAAATCGGCCCAAAATTGACAGACAAAATGGTCGCCGTTCGTTCTCAAATAGCGTAAGAATATGGTATATCAAGGTTGTGGACCCTATAGAGGTCACAATTTTTATCCGATTTTGTTAAAACTTGAAATGTAAGTTTATAACCCAAAGATCTCTGTTCCTTTCAATATTCGAGCATATCGGACCGTAACTTCCTGAATTATGGCCCCTGATTGTACGAAAAATCGCGTTTTTAGCTTGTGGACCTTATAGAGGTCATAATTTTTATCCGATTTAAAAAACCGTATAATTATATCACCGTTACACCCTAAGGATGACTGAGTTCGAATTTCGTGAAAATCGGCCCAATATTGACAGACAAAATGACTGCCGTTCGTTCTCAAATAGCGTAAAAATATGGTATATCAAGGTTGTGGACCCTATAGAGGTCACAATTTTTATCCGATTTTGTTGAAACTTGAAATGTAAGTTTATAACACACAGATCTCGGTTCCGTTCAATATTCGCGCATATCGGACCGTAACTTCCTGAATTATGGCCCTTGATTGTAGGAAAAATCACTTTCTTGTTAGCTTGTTCTCTATCCATCTCTCGAAAATGTGGGCGTATCCTGCCTGGCAGCCGCTGGTTTGGGGGGTTTAAAAAAAAAATCACATAGCTTGAGGTAATTGCCCACATCTATAGTAGAGGTTTTTAAGGGATTTTCACACAAAATTAATAATATAACTCAGATTGATCCTTTAAAGGGGCATATTGTAAGATTTAGATAAAGAGCTGGCCAGTCTCACTATAATATTTCAAAAATAGATTATGCAAAATGAATTTATTGAAAATTTCATTCAAATTAGTTTATTTTGAGCGAAGTTATCGATTGTTGTAACCTCCGCCGTACTGGTCATTCAAGTCTTAGCCTCGCTTCTCCATTTTTATACGCCCACATTTCCATGTGGACGTATATTGTTGTCGCCCCTGTCCGGACGTTTGTGGACACTCTACAGGTCACAATTTTTATCCGATTTGAACAAAACTTGAAATATAGGTTTATTTCCCTAAGATCTTGGTTCCTTTCGATATTGGCATGTATCGGACCATAACTTCATGGATTATGGCCCCCGATTGTACGAAAAATCGCGTCGTTTTTAGCTTGTGGACCCTATAGAGGTCACAATTTTCACTCAATTTTGATGAAACTTGAAATGCATGTTTGTAAACCAAAGATCTTGGTTTCTTTTGATATACGCGCATATCGGATCATAACTTCCTGAATTATAACCCCTGATTGTACGAAAAATCGCGTTTTTAGCTTGTGGACCCTATAGAGGTCATAATTTTTATCCTACACCCTAAGGATGGCTGAGTTCGAATTTCGTGAAAATCGGCCCAAAATTGACAGAAAAAATGGCCGCCGTTCGTTGTCAAATAGCGTAAAATATGGTATATCCAGGTTGTGGACCCTATAGAGGTCACAATTTTTATCCAATTTTGTTGAAACTTGAAATGTCAGTTTATAACCCAAAGATCTTGGTTCCTTTCGATATTCGCGCATATCGGACCGTAACTTCCTGAATTATGTCCCTTGATTATACGAAATATCTTGTTTTTAGCTTGTGGTCCCTCTAGAGGTCACAATTTTTACCCGATTTAAAAAAACGTTTGAATATATCACTGTTACACTGTAATGGTGCGTGAGTTTGAATTTTGTGAGAATCAGCCCAAAACTGCCAGACAAAATGGCCACCCCTTGTACACAAATAGTGTAAAAATATGATGTATCAAGGTTGTGGACCCTCTAGAGGTCACAATTTTTATCCGATTTTGTTAAAACTTGAAATGTTAGTTTATAACCCAAAGATCTCTGTTCCTTTCAATATTCGAGCATATCGGACCGTGATCCGATTTTAATGAGACTTGAAATATATCTTTATAACCCAAAGATCTTGGTTCCTGTCGATATTTGTGCATATCGGATCAGAACTTCCTGAATTATGGCCCTTGATTGTACAAAAATCGCTTTTTTTTTTATACACCCACATTTTCATGTGGATGTATATTGTCGTCGCCCCTGTCCGTCCGTCCACAATTTGTTTGTGGACTCTCTACAGGTCACAATTTTTATCCAATTCAAAATATAGGTCTATCTCTCAAAGATCTCGGTTCCTTTCGATTTCGGTATGTATCGGAACATAACTTCATGGATTATGACCCCTGATTGTACGAAAAATCACGTTTTTAGCTTGTGGACACTCTAGAGGTCACAAATTTTGATCCAATTTTGATGAAACTTGAAATGCATGTTTATAACGCAAATATCTTGTTTCATTTCAATATTTGCGCATATCGGATCGTAACTTCCTGAATTATGGCCCTTGATTATACGATGGTTTCCCCTTGTCAGTGATGCAGGAAAGAGGGCCTGACAAGAACAGCTGTCTAGTCCTTCAGATGGGACGAAAAACTGAGGTCCCGTGTAAACATTGGCGTGCACTTAAAAGATCCCTTGACAGTTGGAATCCGATATAAGAGTAGGCCGTAGTGCCACTGTCTGGGTAAAATTTCACTCATAGCACACTGTATGGCGTATGCCCATCTTCATTAGCCCAGTATAGGAGTAGAACAGGAGGACGTTAAACCCCATTTCATTTCATTTTGATTGTGCAATTGTACAATTTTTATCCGATTTAAAAAAACGTTTTAGTATATCACTGTTACACCCTAATGATGGTTGAGTTTGAAATTTGTGAAAATTGAACCAAAACTGCCAGACAAAATTGCCACCCCTCGTACACAAATAGTGTAAATATATGGTATATCAAGGTTGTGGACCCTCTAGAAGTCACACCGATTTTAATGAAACTTGAAATATATCTTTATAACCCAAAGATCTAGGTTCCTGTCGATATTTGTGCATATCGGATCAGAACTTCCTGAATTATGGCCCTTGATTTTACAAAAAATTGCTTTTTTTTTTTAGCTTGTTCTCTGTTCATCTCTTGCAAAATGTGGGCGTATCTTGTCTGACAACAGTTAGTTTATTTGATTTTGTCAAATTTGGTGTGGAGCATTGGAGTCACGAGAGGACGAACCCTATAGATAATCAGCATTGCAAAACCTTTCAGTTCACAGTTATTCTCCCTTAGTCGAAAACCTTGTAAATGCGATAGAGGCTACAGATTTTAACATTTGTCAAAGTTTAACTATTTGTGATAAATGGTTTATATGTCGTTTCTCAGTGTCTTGTCAAATAAAAATGTAACAAACTTTATGGACTGCTCGGCCTACTTAGTTGATGTGTTGGTGTATATTTGCCATTTGATGGACAGTATAACAACAATAATTGTTGAAATTAAGGTACATGCATTTGACCCAACTACATGTTAGTGAGCTGACTATATATTTATACATTTTTTTCAGGAATGTGTCTCATAATACCTGCCCTCTGTGTCGTAGTAAAGTAGAAAGTACTGATGATACCTGGGTATTGACTGAAAAACCAAGCAGTGCTGATTATGATTCTGAGGTCAAAGGTTATTTAGTAGGATTAGCTGATCGGACAGGTTCACCTTAAATTGGTATTAAAACTTCTTTTCATTGTTTTTTTTTATCTTGTCTTTTATACGCCCACATTTTCATGTGGACGTATATTGTCGTCGCCCCTGTCCGTCCGTCTGTCCACATTTTGTTTGTGGACTCTCTACAGGTCACAATTTTTATCCAATTCAAAATATAGGTCTATCTCTCAAAGATCTCGGTTACTTTCGATATTGGCATGTATCAGACCATAACTTCATGCATTATGACCCCTGATTGTACGAAAAATCACGTTTTTAGCTTGTGGAAACTCTAGAGGTCACAAATTTTGATCCAATGTTGATAAAACTTGAAATGCATGTTTATAATGCAAATGTCTTGTTTCCTTTCAATATTTGCGCATATCGGATCGTAACTTCCTGAATTATGGCCCCTGATTTTACGAAAGATCGTGTTTTTAGCTTGTGGTCCCTATAGAGGTCACTATTTTTATCGGATTTAAAAAAAAAAACGTGATGGTTGAGTTCGAATTTCATCAAATAGTGTAAATAGTGTAAAAATATGGTATATCAAGGTTGTGGACTCTCTAGAGGCCACAGTTTTTATCCAATTTGGATGAAACTTTAAATATATGTTTTTATCATAAAGATCTTGTTTCGTTTTGATAATCACACATATCCGAACGTAACTTCCTGGATTATGACCCCTGATTGGTCGAAAAATCGCATTTTTAGCTTGAGGATTCTCTAGAGGTCACATTTTTTTCCCGATTTTAAAAAACATTTAGATATATCACCATTCCCCCATAATGAGCGTTGAATTCGAATTTTGGAAAAATCGAAATGAAACTGCCTGACAAAATGGCCGCTCTTTGTACGCAAATTGTGTATAAGTATGTAATACAAAAGTTATGGACCCTCTAGAGTTCACAATTTTTATCTGATTTTGTTGAAACTTAAAACAAGTCTTTATATTCCAAATATCTGAGTCCGTTTTGATATTTGCACATTCAGACCATAACTTTCTGGATTATGGCCCCTGATTGTACAAAAGATCTTTTTTGTTTTTAGCTTGCAAAATGTGGGTGTATCTGCCTGGCAGCCGTTTTTTGTTTTTTTAAATAGAGAATTCATATTTTGAAATAAGGTTTTGATACTGAGTTATTACATTTTTAGTCTGATATTGTTTAATTCATAGAAAAGATTGAATTTATATGCATTATTCAGTTATTAATGATGTGATATGTACATTTTCTATTAAATTTTGTAACAGGGATTGGAAATCTTCCTTTGTTCTTTTCGTTGAATAAGCAGATTGTTTTCCCTCTAGTAGATTGGGTGGAGCTTAACCGTGCAATAACTAGGCATGTTCAATGTTATTGCTCACTTTTGCTGGTTTACACTAGTTTTAGTAGAAATCACAGAGAGAAGTGGGGTGGGTTTTCTGTGCAATAACGATAAGTATGTTGAGCAGTTGTCAATGTTACAAGTCATTTATAGCACGTTTCATTCATTAACAGGTTTAACCCCACGGCCTCTGGTTAAACCTGTTAACTCATGAAAGCCGTGCTATAAATATAACTTAATGTACATGTACAAGCTTAAATTGTGTATTGAATTGAATGGAGCTCAAAGTCATCAGACAATTATAAGCAATATTAGGGTATTCCGAATCAGTTTAAGCAATTGAATATGGTGTTAATCAATTATTCAGTGTACGTCTCATCAGCACAAAACTTCAGCCAGTTTGAGACAAAAACGTGAGAATGTTTATTTTTATACGCCCATATTTTCACATGGACGTATATTGTCATTGCCCCTGTCCGTCCATCCACAATTTATTTGTGGACACTCTACAGGTCACAATTTTTATCCGATTTGATGAAACTTGAAATATAGGTTTATATCCCAAAGATCTTGGTTCCTTTCGATATTGGACCGTAAATTCATGGATTATGGCCCCAGATTGTACGGAAAATCACGTTTTTAGTCTGTGGACACTCTAGAGGTCAGAAATTTCATCTGATTTTGATGAAACTTGATATACATGTTAATAACCCAAAGATCTTGGTTTGTTTTGATATTCGCGCATATCGGACCGTAACTTCATGGATTATGGCCCTTGATTGTACAAAAAGTAACGTTTTTAGCTTGTGGTTCCTCTAGAGGTCACAATTTTTATCTGATTGAAAAAAACCCTTGAATATATCACTGTTACACACTAATGACGGCTGAGTTCAAATTTCGTGAAAATTTTACCAAAACTGCCGGACAAAATGGCCACCCCTTGTGGACCCTCTAGATGTCACAATTTTGATCTGATTTTGATGTGGGCGTATTTTGCCTGGCAGCCGCTGTTTTTTTTTTTAGCTTGCTCTCTATCCATGTCTTGTATAATGTGGGCATATCTATGGCAGGAAACTACTGCGCAGACAGCATGGTTTTGGCCTACTCTTCTTGATTTACAACTGTCAATAACTATTTTACGTGCGTCAGTGTGTACACGAGCAGACCTAGCATTTTTGTTGACTAGACAACACTTTATTACATATGCAACACTTTACATGGTTGGAATAAGAATTAGATAATGCAATAAAAAGAGATGGTCAGTATGTATGAGGTGAACCTGATTTTAGTGAACCATATTTTAGTTTACAAAAATACATATAATTTTTTGTATTGATGTTTATAAACATTCAAATTAGGCAATATTGAGGTGAACAAGTAAGTGCTAAGAGCCCTTTTTAGAATGTTTATTATATTTAGTGTTCATCTGAGTTGTTTTGTTACTTATTATTTTAGTGTTGTGCCACTTACAAAGCTATGTACATATAGCAAATTTTATATATTGATCATTAATCTTGTATACAAACACTCTTCTGTGATCATATCTTTATTATAAATACATGTCTATACATCATTGGTTCCATTGAGCACTTTATTTAGTCATTTCTTGATCAAACTGTGGAAGACAATTAATGGTACTGTTTGTTAACGAATGACATTTTTACTAGGAGTCTCTTATCATTGACTTTATTACATCCACACAGTTACAGACAGGATTGTGTTCCATACTCATAGAACTATAAAATGGTAATGAGATATTTAAACACAACAAACATAATTCATATAATTAGTAAATAACTGTACAAATTTAAAGAGGCAGTATGTGCTGGGAGGTATTTCCATGTGATTCAACTATTTATAAAGTTATATTAATGATGTTCAAATATGATTGCATGCAAAATTTGGGACAATCTGCAAAGCCATTGTTGTAATATTCAGATATTCACATTTTACTTTAAATATACAAGTCGTACAAATTATTCAGTGGTTTTGAATGAATTAAACGAACTCGGGTGAAAAATATCTTGTATCGCAGTGCTGGGGTTTTTAATAGTTATAAGGTTATTTTGAATATAATAATGATATTATTCAAATTAATTTTGAAAATGACAATGCTTTTTTATGGAATAAAACTAATTTTAGGTAGCTATTTCGTTAGTTGTAACACTTTATTTACAAATTACAATAAGCATTTTTATACGCCCACATGGAGTTATGGCCCTTGTTTCACTTTGTTGCACCATGAGAACGCTCTAACAACAAAATTTATCAACCGATCTGTATGAAATTTATATGCATCATTTGAATTAGTAAAACAAAGAAGCCTATTGAATTTCAGTAATATCCGTTAATTACATCTAGAGTTATGGCCCTTGTTTCACTTTGTTGAAATTATTGAAACGAAGAAGCCTATTGAATTTCAGCATTTCCGTTAATTACACCATGAGTTATGGCCCTTGTTTCACTTTATTGTACCTTGTGAATGCTCTAACGACAAAAGTTATTATCCGATCTGTATGAAATTTATATGCATCATTTAAATTAGTAAAACAAAGATGCCTACTTAATTTCAGTAATTTCCGTAAATTACATCAAGAGTTATGGCCCTTGTTTCACTTTGTTGAATCTTGTGAACACTCTAATGACAACAGTTATCATCCGATCTGTTTAAAATTTATATGCATCATTTAAATTAGTCCAACGAAGAAGTCTATTGAATTTCAGCAATTTCTGTTAATTATGCCGTGAGTTATGGCCCTTGTTTCACTTTGTAGTACCTTGAGAACGCTTGAACAACAAAAGTTATTACCCGATCTGTATGACATTTATATGTATTGTTTAAATTAGTTAAACGAACAAGCCTATTGAGTTTCAGCAAATTTCCATTAATTGCATCTAGATTTATGGCCCCTGTTTCACTTTGTTGAAACTTGTGAATGCTTGAACGACAAAAGTAATCACCCAATCTGTATGAATTCGAAATTCATATGCATCATTTAAATTAGTGAAATGAAGAAGCCTATTGAATGTCAGCAATTTCCGTCTTCTAGAGTTATGGCCCTTGTTTTACTTTGTTGAACCTTGTGAACGTTCGAACGACAAAAGTTATCATCTGATCTATATGAAATTTATATGCATTATTTGAATTAGTAAAACGAAAAAGTCTGTCGAATTTCAACAATTTCTGTAGATTACTTCCAGAGTTACGGCCCTTGTTTTACTTTTTAGAACCTTGTGAACCCTCAAATGACGAAAATTATAATGTCATCTGTATGAAATTGTCTATTAAATGCCCCTAATTACCTACAAAAGAATAAATATGTGACAACCCTTGTCAACCACTCGGACGATTTAGCTTCTATGGGCGTATGTTTTGTTGCCTGGCAACCTACCTTTATATATACCGTGGGCATATTATATCGTCACCCTGTCCGTCATTTTTTGGCGGATTCATTTCAAATTTGGTGTGAAGCATTGCGGTTTGCAATTTTCCGTTCCAGAAAACCTTGGGAACACAATATAGGCAACAGTTTTGATGGATTCTTTTCAGATTTGTTGTGAAGCAATTTTGTCATGAGAGGACGAACCCTATTGATAGTCAGTGTTCTACAACTTTCTGTTCTGTATTAGATTTACTTGCATTATTTGAAATAGTAAAACGAAGAAGTCTATTGAATTTCAGAAATTTCCATTAATTACTTCTAGAGTTATGACCCTTGTTTCACTGAGTTGAATCACCCTGTGAAAGCTCTAAAGTCAAAACTTATTGTCTGATCTAATTAAATTTATATGCCTGTTAACACAATATAGGCATAGTGTTATGTCAGATTATTTTCAAATTTGTTTTGAAGCATTTTGGTCATGAGAGGACGAACCCTATTGATTTTCAGCGTTCTGTGACTTTCTGTTCCGGAGTTCCACCCCCTTTGCTGAAAACCTTGTGAATGCCATATAGACTACAATTTTTGACCGATTCTTTTCAAATTTGATGTGGAGCATTGTGGTCGTGAGAGGACTACGACTTTCCATTCCTGAGTTATCCCCCCCCCCCCTTTGCCAAAAACCTTGTGAAATTGATAGATCTTACAGGTTGGTTGATATTTTGTTGGATTTCAGAATTTTTACAAATGTCCCTTATTTTTAAAAATGATAACCTCACTGTTTTTGAGATAAAATTATCAAGATCAATTACAGATTTGTGCTTTAAATTGTATGACTTTATTATAATCTGTTTCTGTAAAGTATAAAGACTAAGAAGCAGGTATAGACTTTTATACGCCCACATGTTGATGTGGACATATGTTGTCGTCATCCCTGTCCATTCATCCACAATTTGTTTGTGGACACGCTACAGGTCACAATTTTTATCCGATTTTGACAAAACTTGAAATATAGGTCTATCTCCCAAAGATCTCGGTTCCTTTTTATATTGGCATGTATCGGACTGTAACTTCATGGATTATGGCCCCTGATTGTACGAAAAATCACGTTTTTAGGTTGTGGACACTCTAGAGGTCACAATTTTGATCCGATTTTGATGAAACTTGAAATGCATGTTTATAACCCAAATATCCGATTTTGACGAAACTTGAAATATAGGTCTATCTCCCAAAGATCTCGGTTCCTTTAGATATTGGCATGTATCAGACCGTAACTTCATGGATTATGGATCCCAATTGTACGAAAAAACACATTTTTTAGCTTGATAAAACTTGAAATGTATGTTTATAACCCAAAGATCTTGCTTTCTTTCACTATTAGTGCATATTCATTGTAACATCCAGGATTATGGACCCTTATTGTACGAAAAATCACGTTTTTAGCTTGTGGTCCCTCTAGAGGTCACAATTTTTATCCGATTAAAAAAAAAACATTCAAATATATCACTGTTAAACTATAATAATGTTTGAATTCGAATTTCGTGAAAAAATAATGGATGCATCCTGTACGCAAATAGTGTTATTTTAAAGTATGTAATATCAAAGTTGTGGACCCTCTAAAAGTCACAATATTTTTCCGATCTTGATGAAACTTAAAATATGTTTATATCCAAAAAATCTTGGTTCCTTTCGATATTCGTCCATATTGGAATGTAACTTCCTGGATTATAGCCCCTGATTGTTCGAAAAATCACGTTTTTAGCTTGTGGACCCTCTAGAACTTAGAAGTTACAATTTGTATTCAATTTTAAAAACAGTTTAAATGTATCACCGTTACACCCCAATGAAGGTTGTGTTCGTATTTCGTGAAACTGCCAGACAAAATGGCTGCTCCTTGTACGCAAATAGTCTACAAGTATGTAATACTGAGGTTGTGGACCCTCTAGAATTCACAGTTTTTATCTGATCTTGATGAAAGATAAAATATATGTTTATATATCCTTTGGATATTGGACCATATCTTTCTGGATTATGTCCCCTGATTGTACAAAAAAAATTGCATTTTTCTTCTTTTTTTTTTTTTAGCTTGTTCTCTGTCTATCTCTTCCAAAATGTGGGTGTATCTTGCATGGCAACTGCTGGTTGTTAAAAATATGCATTGATACATGTATCATATATTGTTATAAACATCTTTGACTTATTGTTATATATGATTATTTATTTGTTGTTACATTATTGTCAAATACTATAAATAAAATTTACAGCCTCGTCAGTGTATGTCAATAATAATACAGTGAAGCCTCTTTTGGTCACATTAAGGCTGTTCTGAATTTTAACACCCTTTTCATTGTTGCTGTCATATTTTGACAGTAATAGTAAGTGTAGGTGGACCGCACCACACACAAACAATTACACAAGACAAACCTATGGACAGAACACAATGTACAGACATCACAAACAACAAGAATAAGACGCTTGCTCGCTAACCTCAAGGTCCAGTGTTTAACCCTTAACCGGTCGACGTCATTTTGACGTATGACGTCAAGTGGTCATTCTAAATAAAGGCTGACGTGAAATATTTTGTATGCCTATTTCAATCGACTACTGCCGAATAATTATAAGTGATAGACTCTTGACACCAATAAAAAAGTTGCTGGGGTAAGATGATCTATAATTTGCAAATCATTCTAAATCCTTTTGATCAGAAATATGGTCTTCAGAATCGGTGTCATCGATATAATCCGATTCGGAATAATTCATAAGTATTTCAACCACTTCGAGCGTATAACGTTGTGGTGACTATAGTCGACAATGACCGGTTAAGTGCTAATCCCAGCCTTGGCCGAGAAAGTTCATCAGGATTTTCCGACGTAGTTCCCCCTTGTCGATGGTGCGGACAGAGGGCATGGCAAGGGACAATGTATATTTGTTCGGATAGGACGAAAAACCAAGGTCCTGTGTACAAGGTGGCATGCACGTAAAAGATGCGCCAAATTTTGAAATCCCATCACTGCGCCACTGTCGGGCAAAGTTTCATTCTTACTGTAGATCTGGTACTGTGTACTTTGGGGTTTTTAAGCTGAGAAAGTATTGTTTACTTTTAAATTATCGTGTGAGAATCATTAAAAATCATTTGAAAACTCCAAAATTAGTGTAGTTGGTACTATGGTTTAGTGTGTAATTTCCGTTTATTTATCTATGGCGTTTATCTATTAGATGAACTGTTTAATTTCCCGGGATGTGTTTAGCTGATCTGTTTAATTTTAGGTTGAATTTGATTAAGATTATTTACATATGAAGCAGGTATAAAAAAGGTGAATACATTATTACAAAAAAAATGTGCACCCATACATGCTTGTTTTAACGTGGTCATAGTATTATTATTATCCATTAAAAATAGTATTTCCCACATTGACAAATACATCAAAAAACAGTAAATCACATCCCAGGTAATATATCTCCTTTAAATCACAAATGAATTAACATAGCCTTCCTCTTTTGATCAAATTTAAAAATAGTTCTTTTCACACTGAAAAATAAATTACACAATCCATCGAAAATCTGTAAATCACATCCCAGGCAATAAATCTTCTTTAAATGGGAAACATTATAGATGCTTGTCTTACTGTCTTACCATGGTTGTAGTATTATCATCCATTAAAAATAGTAATTCTCACATTGACAAATACATCGACAATCAGTAAATCACATGCCAGGTAATATAAATCACAAATGAATTAACGTAGCCTTCATTTTTTTTTTTTTTTTTTGTCTCCCGCCTTTCAAAAAACGCAGGTAACTATTTAAATGGGTTCATTTGTCTGTCTGTCCGTCCATTTGTCTGTCTGTCTGTCACACTTTTTGGAAAATATAAACTCCTTCTAATTGAGCTAGAATGTTCAATCTTGGTGTAGGTGTTTATACGGTCAATGCCTTGATGGAGTTCAAAGATGAGCATTTTCTGCTAAGCGTAAGCAGAGATAATCAATTTGATTGGTTGATGCTTTGGGGCACGATAACTATAGTTCAAATATTCACAGTCTACTTGTAAAAGCAGAATGGAAAGAGAGAGAGAAATGGGGTTTAATGTCCACTCAACACAGACTAGGTCATTTCGGGACTAATATATGGTTTTAATTTTATTTCAATAATTCGCTTGCACGTAGGAGTCTTTAGCAGTGGGAGGAAACCGGAGGAACCAGAGAAAACCCACGGGGTTGGACAGGCAACCATACTCCTTGTCACTTACAACCGGGGATTCGAAACCACTCCAGTTGACTCAATGACAGGCCTCATGATACAGCGCGTGCGTGCTAACCATTCGTCCATCCAACTCCCTAAAAGCAGAATGGACAAGACCGAAGAAATGATCGAAAGGAATGTGATTCTTCTCTGTAAAATTTCATGCACTGATATTAGCCTCTTTCTCGTTGTTTTATGTACAAATACAGTGCCAAGATCTCGTCTGTGTCTGATTCCACCTGAGCCATGATAGCAAATGACAAGATTTATCTCTCACATCTGGAAAAAGACAAGCCGTCGACGGTTTTCCATGTTTGGGTTCGCGCCCTATTTTAACAGTGAAACTGCTCAAAAGTCGCGTTCGGGTTCGCGATGGACGCGTTCGAGTTCACACTCTGTATAAACAGGGCTTTACCATAAAAACACAATATATGGTGGTTTAATCCTGTGATGCTGAACTTGACAAATATATGCATAATGCATGATGAAACTTACAATGTACGTTTATTACCGAAAGATCTCCGTTCCTTTTGATATTGGCGTATATAGGACGGTCACTTCCTGGATTATGGCCCCTGATTTTAGGAACCGTGGACCCAGTAGAAGTTTTTATTTGATTGTAAAAAAACATTCAATTATAGCAGGTCAAATTTTTTTATCTCAAATTGACGAGACTTGAAATATAGGTCTATCTCCCAAAGATCTCAGTTTCTTTTGAAATTGGCATGTATTGGACCGAAACGTCATGGATTATGACCTCTGGTTGTACGAAAAATGACATTTTTAGCTTATGGACACTCTAGAGGTCACAATTTTCATCCAATTTTTATGAAACTTGAAATATAGGTCTATCTCCCAAACATCTCGGTTCCTTTTGATATTGGCATGTATCGGACCTTTCGCATATTCGCACATATCTGATTGTAACTTTCTGGATTATAGCCCCTGATTGTACGAAAAATCGCGTTTTTAACTTGTGGTCCCTCTAGAGGTTACAATTTTTATCCGATTTAAAAGGCATTCGAATATATCACCGTTACACCATAATTACGGTTGAGTTCACATTTCCTGAAAATGAGACCGAACGGCCTGACAAAATGGCCGCTCCCCTAAAAGCATATAATATTCAGTTTAGATCTAAATATTAAGGCCACCTGCAAATTCGCCAATGTCACGAGATGTAAACTGGGCTAGCGCAAACCCTAACCAAAGATCTAGCCCTTACCCTAACTCACCTTGCATGGCAACCGCGTATTTCAACTGGCCATAGCAGTGAATCATTTGATGGATAAGGGGCACAAGGAAAGAGTATAAGTCTCACTTCTACCCACTTCTATGTTAAATTGAAGCCTTTTTGTTTTTAATAGAATAGTTACTTGCGTGCAACAACCTGGAGAAAGGGGTACTTGCGGCCAAAAGTATCAAGCAACTAACCTGATTATCATTTTATCACTCTCTATCAGATAGAATCAAGATTATCTTGTCCCAAAGCATCAACTCATGAAATTGATTAGCTCTGCTCAGCTTCAGCTCAAAATGTTAATCATTGAACTCAGTCAAAACATTCACCTAATGAACATTGTTACATCAATTTAAACATTCTACCTCAATTAAAAGCAGAGTTGTTATGTTCCAAAGTCTTGAACAATCAAATTGCTTATCGCTCCTTAGCCTAAGCAAAAAATTCTCACCATTAAACTTAGTCAAGGTAATGATATAATGAATCTATATTCGGAGTTTCATCACTTTCACTTCATTATAACCAAAGTTATTTTGCCCCAAAGCATCAACCAATCAAATTGCGTATCTCTGCTTATCCTAAGCAGAAAATTCTCATCTTCGACCTCCATTAAGGCATTCACCTAATAAACACCTATGCAAAGTTTGAACATTCTAGCTCAATTAGATTGAGAGTTATTGTGTTCCAAAGTCTCAACCAATCAAATTGCTTATCGCTCTGCTTACCCTCAGCAGAAAATGTTCATTATCGAACTTAGTCAAGTTATTGATGTAATAAAACTATACACCAAGTGTCCTCACTCTCACTTAATTAGAACTAATTAAAGTTATCGTGTCCCAAAGCATCAACCAATCAAATTGCTTATCTCTGCTTACCCTAAGCAGAAAATTCTCATCTTCGAATTGCATCAAGACATTCACCTAATAAACACCTATAGTCTGCCGGATTTAGATTATTTCCTGGAAAAAAGTCACATCAAAGCAAATTTGGTCTCAAATGAAAGGTGGGGTCCGTAGGTACTCCAGAAAAAAATGACCCATCATGATCGCTTGGGGAAAATTTTTGGGGTGGGGTCAAAGATCAAGGTCTACCAATCAGAAAACAGCGGTCAATATCTCAAAAACTATCAATGTTAGACCCTATAAATGTATTAATATTATCAAGATATAGGAACTCTATATTAATTTTATCAAGATATAGGAACTCTATATTAATTTTATCAAGATATAGGAACTCTATATCGTGGAGTCGAATAAAGTAGTCTGTACTAATGGACTTAAATGCCAGTGCCCATAGAAAAAAATTACCAATGTCGACGACGAAATGTTTAACTCAATTCTATTTTATTTTGAACAAAATTTAAGGTAGCATTATGAAAGATTATAGTAAGGGAGCTAGGAAAGATATTTGTGGGGGTTTTGGACACATGCTCCTTACTTCGGAGGTCTAGGGTCGTTTGAATTCACCAATGTAATATTCTCCACATCTACAGTTAATTTGGTAGACACAGCCTTTCGGGAAGGTAGGCTTTGTAAGGTTTGACTTTACATTAGCATTTGCTAACTCCTTATTTGTTGTGCCTTTGGGGAATGTGGTTTCTATGCCTGCTTCTGTTTTAAATAACCTTCTAAATTGGTTTGGGGTGTATGACTTTTTGGGTTTATCAAGGTTTGATAGGTTGGATAATGTGGGTTGGTGAACTTGTTTACCATATGTTCTAAGTAGTTGTTGTCTTCGATGAAGACGTCTTTTAGGTGTTGTATTACAGCTGCAGGTTGAGGGGTCA